TATAGCACGAATTTAAAGAAAAATCGGTATATCGGTTTTTGATTGTTTGGAAAAAATACTTAAAATAGCTTTAAAAATAACGGGAATGATTGACTTAATGAGAAGGAAATCTATGTTTTTATGATATTAAATTATGATAATTTGTATGGTTGAATGTGGTTGTAAGTTGTGGAATAGTTTCATGAATGAACAAATAAATTATCATTTAGACTAACAGCACTTTTACACCTTAGCTACCTTTCAATTTTCAAATATATTTGTAGAGATATACGGAAACGAGAACGTTGAACCAAAAGTTGCTAAAATGTTTGTCAAACTTCAGCGTGCTATTACTCGAGAAATCGGAATTCGATATAAGTTAGCTGAGGTTTACTACAAGTTTTTACTCAGCAGACTATTTCCGCTCTACATCTGTGACCAGCATTTGTATGTAAAGTTGTACATCAGACAGTTCCTGACAAGTCAACTTAGTACTTGTGTTTAATAATGATGATGATGTTGTAGATTCGTGGAATGATGGAACTGGTTATCCAGGCATCTGAAATCAATTCAGGAACGATTGTTCGTGACCAAGCCAATGAAGAGGTATTTGGTGAAGCTGTAGTAATGCCAATACCGTTTGTGATTGAGGGTAATAATGATAATTAGGATAATTTTAAATTAGTGTAGTGTTTCAAGTTGTTTTTGCTATCAACTATCTATTTTGATTTTCTGCCTCGCAAACTGTTTTTTCTTTCTCAATTAATTTGGATTTTGGTGGTATATATATGCTACGTTATCATTTATTTATTCAATTTTTATTTCTGGATTTTTAAATACAGATTTTTTTGAGAAAGTGTTTTCAGTATTTATTAAATTAAATAGTTAATAATAAAAATGAGTGCAGTTAGCAAGTTGTTTCGATGTGACTTGCTGGTATTGTTGCAATAATCTTTTTGGCAAACGCATTCGGTACCGATGCCATCTTTCCAGAGAACACTTCTTTCACAGTGGTCTAGAAACGGTTCACTCGTTTGTTGGCACATTTTTTGTACTCTAATTATTCCTTAAATTTTTTCAAAATTAATTCTCTAGCCATATCATTAAATACTTTCAACCGTAGTTAAGAGCAAAGTATAACTTTTATTAGGTCAAAATATGGTTTGTCTCAGCAAACTTAAGTTTCCGCTGCAGTTAGAATAAATCGTGTGATATGAAGAAAAAAAGCTAGCTAATGTGGACAGAAGGATGCTAAAGACATACTCGGCAATAGTTGGCTGAAATGTGTTTGAAATTAGTTTTCATTCAGTATCCTTGTGCATCAAAGTCACTGAGAAGTTAGACATTCAAAACCATTTGCAATTAGTCAGGTTCGTTATGTTTCTAAAATTACTGGAAAATATTGCAACGAATCTTTCAATTCATACCATCAACAAGGGCGAGACGTTTAATGCAAGCTGTACCAATGCAGGTCGTATCAAAACAGTTATTCTCTCCAAAACTGTCGCACATGTAGCAGACTAAGAAATGCCCTGAATTAAGTTTTTTACACATATTGTATTTTTCTCAGTGATAGTCTATGCTTCGGAGTGCATGATAATGTCTGGTAATGGAAGTGAAAATTATCTACATTAATTATATCTTGGAAGATAAAGTGTGTGGAGATAAATTAATGTACCTGTTAGTTTTAAAAGCTAAAAATGGAAGGTAGAATTTGTAGTTTGGTTGAGACAATGATATATTGTTACTGATGATGATTGTTAGATGATTACAAATTTTGTACAGTGAAGTCCAAGATACAAACCTTGCGAACAAGCGTGAGGAAATGAGCTGAGCAAGAAAACTATTAGTCTTAACATCTAAATTGTAGAGTGAGGCGAGTGGCGGATATTGTTAGTGAGATGCAGTTATAAATATTTGTTTACTTTTAGGAAAGTATAAGGGACTAGTTTAGTGGGTGTTCTGTACTGGAATGTAAATTATATTACATTTGTACGTAGGTGTCACTTGTAATTTGGGAAGCGCTTTTCTTGTTCGAATATTCCATATTTTTGTCTGCGAAAAATTGAATGCACCGCAATTTGCCAGCGATCAAAGCAGATAATTCGGATAATTCTACAAATTTGAATCTTTTACTTCTAGAGTTTCATAGCAACTTTCACTTGCTATTTTTCTTGATTTCTCCATCACTTCGTTTCAATTGAAATAA